CAAACCTCTGATCTGAGGATGGTTTAAGGCGGTATGACTGGTGAGATGTTAAAGTTCTCTGACACTGATCAGGAGTCAGTAACACATTTGAAACCTTTAAACTGAAATCATTTCCCATTCAAATGAACTGAAATTCCACTTTCCCTCCTCTGTTTCTTTTCTATGGTTGATGATGGTTTATTCTGATTATGTATGGATGATTATAAGTATTATATAGATTTTTTTTCTTTATTGTTTCCTGGTGATTTTTTTTAACTGGGTGTTTCTGGAATTTTAATTCCTTTTCTCTTTAGACGTTTTTACTGACACTTGACGGTTGAGTGCCAACAGCTGGTTCGAGTATTGCTGGCCGGGTTGAAACTAAGTGATAACAAGCTTCTAATGGCAGGAGAGAAACGAGAGCCGAAGCAAGAATTAAAGATGTTTTAAAAGATGAATGTTGGAAGTGGTGGGTGTTTGGAAATAATAAAACCAGTACTTGAATGTTTTTTTTTCACTGGGACTTTATTTGTTGAAATTAGAAAACTGCTTTTTTATCAGTGTGATTGCCAGGATCTTTTTAATTTGTTCATTTGAAATCAGACTGCCTCTTCATGGATGAAAGTATAAATGTTTCAAAATTAGATGGAGGATTTGTAGTTGTTCTTTTCAAATAGTCTTAATAATCTGAATGTATAATCTTTTGCTCTTGTTTTTTTTTTTAAAAACAAACAACAACAAAAGATGTGAGGACAGTTAGCTTGTCTGAGAACTTTAGCAGAAGGAATATTAATTTGGTTGTATGAATATATCTAATTATTCCTTTTATTTTAAAAAAAAAAAGTGAAAGATGCTTTAAATACTTCAAAAGCAAAGGGCAGCGTAATTAAAGATATGACACTTTTCTTAACTAAATAACAAAAGTAATTGTTTTCCAATTAGTAACAGACCTACATCCACACTCAACAGGCACTTTGTTAGGTCCACCTGCATGGCTACTTTAAGTGCAAACATTCATCAGCACAACTCAATAACTTAGACATGCAGACACAAGCAAGACATTCTGAAGTTCAAACGTCAGAAGAGAGGTGACTCATGGTTGTGGTGGGGATATGCCTGCACAACCATCTTTGGGGTTTACATAAAATTGTCTGAACGACAGCAAATATCCAGTAAGCAGCAGGTCTCTGGGTAAAAATTACTTTTTAGAGCTGATAGAGAAGCAACAGTAACTCCAAAGTCCTTAAAGCCAAGATGAGCAGTAGAGCTATGGTATAAGACCACACTGGTCCTGAGATAGACCAATAGACATATAGTTAATTAACTATTACTCATCGTAGGGAAAAATTCCCTTATTACAAAAACACCATAAACAGACATGAGAACAGGAAACTGAGATCCTCACTCACACAGGAGATGAAGATATTTTAAATTATCTGCAATAATAACTGAATCAGTTTGCTCATTAAAGCTAGACTTTTAAAAAAGTGTTCAATTGGTTTGGCACATTTAGTCCTCCGTAAATACACGGTTGGTTTTCAATAATGCTGGTTAGTACAGGACCCACACGGCGCTTTCTCTGACTGACAAAGGAGCATGAACTGATTTCCTTTTTCTTTTTTTTCTTTTTTTTTTGATTGATTGTAATTGTTTAAAGTCACTTTGGGCTTCTGGGCTCCAGGAGCCGATATGGAGCCGGTGATCCCTTTGGGCGGATGCGAAGTGTCAAAAAGGGATCGAGATCAGAAAAATCAGGCCAAGAGGACGAGTTATTCCTTTATTTTACTTATAACGCCTTTAAACCCTGTTGGCTACAGACTATTTACCAATACAAGCAAAGTTATTACACATGGGAAACACAGAAACATTGGAAATTATATTTTGGCACCTCGCGTTTTCTTAGTGGACTCTCAAAGACGCATTTTCAGTGGGAAATGTGTCGCGGTTCAGACTCTGTACCTGAAAATAATCAGAGCACAGAGTGTCTGCAGCTGTTTAAATTAACTCCAAAGTAAACAAAATCAGTTTTAGCGTCTTAAAGTTATTTCAACCTCATCTTCACTCAAATATTTACATTATGTCCAAAATCCAACTGGGGTATTTCAATCGATTCCAACACGACAAATGATTGATTATTGATCAGTGTGTTCTGTGCCTTAAAAAAACCCTTTGCAAATGAATCAGCTCTTCTTCGCGCTTTGGCAGCGGCTGTGAATGAGGAAATGAATCAGCTGGCTCAGGTACAGCAGGAAGGGAGGAGATAGAGGGACACTCAGTTTG